TTTGATAATTTTCTACATTATATTATAATATAATATTTAAATAATATATATTTAATATATAATTATTATATTTATAATAATATATTATAGTATATATGTATACTTGATGTAATATAATAATTTAATATATGTATATATATAATATATTTTATATATAAATAAAATAATATTAAATATAAATTTTAATATTTTTTTGATAATCTTGTATATTATTTTAATTACAATATAATATTCAAATAATATGTATTTAATTTTATTATATTTATAATATATATTTTTTTTTATATTTCAAGAATAATTCAAAAAGAAATAAAGAAAAAAATCTGTTGTTGGATAAGAAAAAGGATAAGGAAAAGGGATTATGTTATTCTTATATATACTGTTAGATAGATCCTTTACAATAAAACGATTTTCTTTAGTTTCCTCCCGAAGATATCATAATGGTTATCCTAGCATTAGTTTTGTCCAAGAACAAAGCTGAAGCTTACGAACAATCAGTTTCCATTGTGAATAAATCAGAGGACGACTACTACTATGTTGTATTATATCCTTCGAAATATATCTCTCATCGAAGGGCTTGGATTAACACGATTTCAAGGGTATTGGGGGAGTGTAAAAGTAAGAAATAAGAAATAAAAGAAAATGTATTAACGATATACTTAATTCTCCCTTCACAAGTCTTATACAAATTTAACATAATCCTGTCAATTAAACATTTCTTTTATGTTAATTCGAATGATAATGATACTTTTAACTTTACTTATCGTTTTATTCATGCCATTAGTTATCTTAGGAATGTTACAAACCCTAATTTGTAAGATTAACATAAATTTAGTACCTTTAGTTTCGATTGGAAAATATTTTATTTCTTTTTGACTAAAGTTGAATATAGTTGAGTAAATTTTTTAGGTTAATTGGGGTGTGATGGAAGATTATAAATAAATCCCAGTTAATTTATATTAAATGAAAAAATAAACATACACACCATTTTAAGAATGTTAGAAAAACCCTAATTTGTAAGATTAACATCAACTTAGTGTCTTTAGATTCAATTTGAAAATGTTTTTGAATATAATTGACTAAATTTTTTACGTTAGTTGGTATGGGGTGAAAGATTATAAATAAATCCGAGTTAATTTATGTTAAAAAAAAAAAAGAAAAGAAAATAAAACATATCAAGAGAAGTTAAGTTAAAATTGACCTAATTCTTCCACTCAAAGGATCAATCGATAATAATTCATTCTAATTGAAATGTTAAAACGTAAGTAATTAATTAATTAAAGGATTAAATTATGTAAAAGATAATAACTTACCTTTTCGAACATTTTTCCTGTAGCTTCAAAGCCAATATAATTAGATTCTAGCCATCTTTGTGCAAGACGCGAACTGAATTGAACAGCTTCGGTTACTTGAGTTCGGTATAATCCTTGAATCATTATAGATTGTAGAGGTGGCCATGCGTTAGGGAAATCCCATTGTTCACCGGTTTGATTTAGGGATGCTGGAGTACCACCTATTTTGTAAAAATCATTGCTAATTATTGTATCGTGTATTTGGTTTAATATTATTTTTGTGTTTTATTTTTTTGAGAATAATATGAAATTATTACGTTATGGTAATTATTAGTTATTCTTTGTTATTATATATTATATTATTATTAATTATTTTTAGTTATATTATATTATATTATTATTAGTTATTATTAGTTTTATCATATATTATTTTTATTTGTTATTCTTAATTTTATTATATATTATTTTTATTTGTTATTTTTAGTTATATTATATTATATTATAATAATTAGTTGTTATATTAGTTATTATTAGTTATACTTACCAAAGTAGGTAAGGATTCCTGTTTTCTTTAAATAAGATACAACACCAAGTGCAATATCTTGAACATTATTAGCATTGTAGCTTAGGGTATATAATGGTGACAAATTTGTTGGATAAAATGATGTTCTATGACGTTGATTTTTCAAATCATAATCCATCCAAACATTATACTCGTCGTTCCACAATACTTCGTCAATACCTTTTTGAAATTTGTTCGCCATATTCACGTAATATGAAATTTTCTATATAAACAAATAAATCATCATAGTAAGAAAGATTTATGAAAAAGATCAATAAAAAAACTTGGCTGGTTGTGTTAACTTACTTGTACTTTTTTAATTTTTGTCAAAAATTTAACCAAAGTACGTGCATTCTGTTGTAGAAAACTATTCAAATCAACGGGTATTATGTTATGCGTATTAATATCAATCAAATTATTTGACAATTGACCATCCGACCCTGTAAACCATCTTCCTGAAAAATCCCAACCACTCTCAGCACCAGCTTTCAGATCATTGTAAAATGATGCCTGTTCATCAACGTCCGAAAATCTCTGAGCCAAATAATAATCTTCCCTAAAAATAAATAAATTCTTTTAATTAATAATAAAAAGAAATTCATTAAAGGTATTAAAATTTTAAAAAATTATCTACCATTAGTTGTAAAACAAATTTTTCGAATTTTATCATGATCGATTAATTTATATAAAAGTTTATTTCGAACTACTGTTATAAAGTTTACGCGATATTGATTAGAAAAGCAACACAACTTTAAATATTTCATCTTAATAATAACTATCGTTTAAAAGTTATCGAATAATTTTACGATCTTTATTAAATTACGAATTGTTTCAAAATTCACCTATTATTTTTTGATATTTTATCGTAGAGATTTCATTTATTATAAATTATTATAAAGTTTTAATGAAATTATTAATACCTATATTGTGTATTATTATATTAAAATTGTTTTGATTTTAATATCTAATAAAATTATAATATAATAATATTAATTAAATATTTATTAAATTAAAATTATAATATAATTATATTAATTTTATTTATTAAAGTTTTAATATTAAATTTATTTATTAAAAATATTTTAATTTATTAAAACTATATAATATAATAATAATATGTTTCTTTATTTTAATTTTTAATTATTTATTTTTAATTATTTATTTTAATTATTTATTTATTTAATTTTTTAATTATTTAATATAATAATATTCTTTTGCTTTTTTATTTATTTAAATATTATTGTAAAAGAAATACTTACAATTATTATTATTATTATTATTATTATTATTATTATTATTATTATTATTACACCATATTAAAATCTGGCATAGTAACATGAAATAATAATAATAATAATAATAATAATAATAATAAATTGAAACGTACTTATAACTTTCTGGTCGTGGCCTTGGACTATTAACTACGTAATGAGCCATCCTATAAGTTTTTCCATTTTTATTAACATTGATCATTTTGTACTTAATCCAATAATCAAATTCCTTTTCCAAGGTTCCGATTATTTTCTTCAAATACTCGTAATCTTGCGTGTACTCTAAATACAGCTTGACCTACATCAACGAACAATTAAAACTATTAGGAGAGTAATTTATCAAAAGTTAATTTAAATCTCTTTTTCGAGTGATCTTGATAACAAATTTTCAAGAAAAAAAAAAATAGTTTTAAATGTTTTAAATGTTTTATTCTACTTTTTTTTTCTTTTCGAATATCAATCAATCGAATATTAATTTGATCGTTAAAATGAAATTCAAGTTTGGTCTGTTTATTCGAATGAAAATGAAAGTAAAATATACTTCGTTAAATCAAAACTTACCATGGGAATTAATAATGGTGGATGACTTCTCATAAGATAATAAACTCTACCACCGTTTGGTATAAATCCAAATCTTTCTACCATCGATAAAAAGTTGTCAATCATTCCTCTAGCAGTATCAGTCATTCCACATATCAATAATCCTTCAATTACCCAATAACTGTCCCAGTAATAAAATTCTATTAAACAATAAATTATTATTATATTAAATATTAAATATTAAAATATTAATATTATATTAATATAAACAAATAAGAAAAAAAATAAATTATTAAATAATTAATAAAGTAGTTATATTATATATTAAAATTAATAATTTTTAAATTCGATTTATATGAACGTACTTTAATATAATTATTAAAATTAGTTTCGATTGTTAAATTTAATAATAATAATAATAATGATATAAATATTTAGTATAGAGTGTACCTTTAAATCGACCACCAGGTACTACGAATGGTTTATCAACATAAATAATACTATGCCTTTCTGGATGTTCCGATACCATCGGTTTTATCTTTCTCGCCAATTTTTTCCATATTTCGTTCAATTCTTTAGCCCACTTTTGCAAATTAGGATCTTCAATGGTTTTTAATATTGGAGGATTTTCTTGCCAATCGGGTAACGTATAATTATCTAGTTCACTTTCCATTGAAAAATTTTCCAAAACGAATTGATTTACTTGCGAACGATTTGGTTGATTATTCGTTTCTGCCATTAATTTGTCAAAACTTGAAAATAAAAAAAACAAATAGTAATAATAATAAAAATAATAAAAATAAAATCCTATATAAATATTTTATTTAACTATTACAAATCTTATATTCTTCAAAAATATATTATAAAATTATATTTAATTTAATAAATTTAATAAATATAATATTATAAACTTGTTATTATAATTTGAATATATATTACATATTATAAAATTATATTGTATAATATATATATATATATATATATATATATATATATATATTATATAACTGTATAATATATATATATAATTATTCCTTTTGAATATAATTATCTTAAACCTAGATAAAATAACTTTTTAGTTAATTATCGAATTACGATTGAATGTTAAACTCAAATTTGCTCATAAAAATTGTGTAATTAAAAATCGATTAAATTGGATAACATACTGCAATTGACGTAAGCAATAAGTAGAAAAAAAATACTTGACGTTATAAATTAATTGCACAGATGATAATGTTTATTCATCCGATGTTAAGTTAATGATCTGTCTATTAACATTAATTGAGTGCATAATATTGTGATATATTAAATAGGATGATTAAAACTAAAGAAACATTTCAAATGATCGAAATAGTTTAAATGATCAATTTGTTAAATTCTTTTCATTTTATTGTTTTTTTTTTCTATAAAATAGAAATAGTTTCTTGTTTCAACAAATGAAATAGTTTCGTTAAATGGAAATATTAGATATATCGAATAATTTTATGAGATTTTTTCTTTCAATATTGGTAAGATGTTTCACGTGTTACAAACTTATGGTGTTTTAACAATAAGATAAAATTTAAATATTCTGTTATATTATATGTTCCTTCCATATCCTACTTGCTACTTGCTGCTTACGTTTGCACTGTTTCACGAGACAATAAAGAAACATCTGGTGGAAACATGTGTGTTCTCTTATCTTACACATCAAGACTTGACTGAGAATCCTTAGAAAATGCAAACTTCGCGATTGTTCTAAAGAAAATTTATCATAAGTCATAGTAAAATTAATTTTAATACATTTATTATTAAATGTACGCTTAAGTATTTGTATTAGTAAATTTATAATCAATGATAAAAAACAATATATTATTTATGAATCATTAATTCATATAAATTTGATATTAATTTACAATCAATCAAAATTTGTGTAAAATCATTTTAAAAATATCGTTTAGGAATGTTTAAAAAAACACATATAATTCTTATCAATGTATATGTCTGTGTGTATATGTGTTTGGTGATTACTTACTTGATAAGCGTAATTTCAGGATCATTCTTCTGAAACAGGTCAACGAATGTTTTACTGTCATTGAAGATTTGAGCTAACTGTACTGTTTGCAAAAGTGGCCCTTCGCAATAAATCTTGCTGTAAAATAAAATAAAACAAAAAATATATATTTAATACATTATTCATATGATGTATATAAAATGAGGGGTGACGAAGGAGGAGAGGTGGGAGGAGGGAATGTCGTATTTTGCCTTTCGATTCATTTTTACGTCGACATAAAATCATTTTTTAAAATTCTACTTAAAAGAAACCGGTACGTGACTTCAATATGGTAACTATAAGAGGGTAGAAAAATATCACACTTTTGAGACAGATAAAATACACTGTATTATATCCAATAAAAAAATAAACAATGAGAAAAGTTTATATTGTTATGTTATAAATATTGCATATGAATTTGATTTTAAAAAATTCAATGATTCCAATTGAAGTAAGAGATTTATTTTTTTAATTTTTAATAAAAGTATTGAGATAGAATTATGAAAAATTGAATGAAAAAAAAATTCGTATGAATTAATTTTAAATAAATACTAAAACAAATGTTTGAGGATCCTAATTAAAGCAAGATTTATTTTTTTATTTATTTAATACATATTAAGATAGAATTATGAAAAATTAAATGAACAAAAAATTCCTACAAATTTGATTGAAAATAAATAAATGTGTAAATGTTCAACAATGATTTCCAATTGTATCAAAATTTTTGATTTTTTCAAGATTTTATTGTAATTTTATTCATTTGTTATACTGTCTTTTTTGTAATAAGTTTTAATTTAGTAATAATTACAATTTTTCGTTAAAATGTGAAGCTGAAACTTTTTTTAAAAGAAAGAAGAGTAGTACTTTCGAGTTCTCAAGGATGTAAGTAGTAATTAAAGTGATACTTGAACAGAACTTTAAAGAATCTTATGATACGAAGACTTTGAGAAAAGGAAAGGGATAACTGTGAGAGAAAAAGAAGAACAAGATTTTTCTGTCTTTTTACAGTGTTAGCGAACTAAACGAAGTAGCCAATCAAAGCTTTCAAGCGCATTGGGAATTAACTTCGAACTAATCCACGTACTACACTACTACTATTACTAATACTACTACTACTACTAGTTGATTCTTTCTTTTCGTTAGAGAAACTTCGTTTTATCGTGAAGGACACATAAAAAAAAACAACAACAACAACAACAAAACAAATAAAAAAATAAATCTAATATTTAACGTATATCTGAGATATGATTTTTATAACTTTTTTTTTTTTAATTTTTTTTTTGAAAGATTTTCTCAAGTATAAGTAGATCATGTGTATTTATATTAAATTTTATTACAAAATAAAATTAATATAATAATTGTTATATTAAATATTAAATAATTATTATTATTATATTAAAATAATATAATAATAATTGTAATATTTATTTGATTATACAATAGATTTTGGATTTTTATTTTTATAATTGCATCGCAATGCAACGCAAAAAATTGTGTCACAGATTTAAAGATTAATGTTAATTTTTTATTCTTTTAGTTTTTTTTTTCTTAACTCAACCCATTTATAATCAATTTTCTACTTTCGAGTGATTCTAAATGTGATTATTTTTTTTTTGTCATTGTCTTCTTATTCTTCTTCTTCTTTTAAAAGCGACTCTTTTACGTCGCGTTCCCACGAGAAACGGTGCAAAAAAAAAACTCAACCAACGTTAATAATCACACATAATTACACCATCCTGTTTGGTTTAGTTTTTTTTTATTCAAGTTTATATTAGTAACAGATAGTGCGAACTATTGTTTTATTTATGGTTAGTGTTCATACTTTATCCTCTTTTTCTCACATTTTCTTTTTGATTTTTTTTTTTTTTTTGATTAATACATTGAAAATAATTCAAGTGTATCGTAATTTACATTGACGTTTGATATTTTTGTTAAGGTTGTATAAGAGTAAAAATATCAATTGAATTTTTTTATTTTTTAGAATTTATTGTTAATCGTGGCAATATGTTAAACGTCATAAAGGGTGAAGGGATCTTTACAATAGCATAATTCATACGAGTCGTAGGTCATAGGAACGTAATTTACGTAGTTCGTGGTTTACGCTTCGTAGAAAATCACCATTGTTGTGTAAAACCTTTTATTCTTAATATATATACATGTGTAATATATATAAAATAAATTTATAAAAAAAAATAATTTACTTTCATTTAATCGCATTAATATTTCATATAAATTTGTTTTTCTTTTTATGTGTGTGTAATGTGTGTATACACAATAACTCTTGATAATTATTTTAATTTAAGGAATTATGTTCAATCGGTTTATCATTTATGTTAATAATAAATATTTTAAAAATAATTATATACTACTGAATATAAAATATACTTTTGAGAATAGATGAATTACCCTTTCTTGTATTATTGATGAGATATATGGGGGATATCTCGTTAATGTGAAATATTTGATAAATCTGTGTAATGAAAGCAATTAAGAACGAATGTACGAACGTACGAACGTACTGAATTCGACGTGAATTTACGGGATAGAGATTGTAATTCGACGGTCGTTATTATTTATTGATGTTATCGTCGTCGTCGTTGTCGTCGTCGTTGTCCRTTGTCTCGTTGTCGTTTTATTTTTGCCAAATTAAAACTGGCTTTATTTCATCCTCAGATTTGTAAACGATGACAAATGTACGAATGTTTTTTTTTTCTTCCTACCAAAACTACAAACTCATCTCAATCGTTTTATTTTCAATCATCTCGTACGTCTATAAAAAAAATTACCAAAAAAATTTATCAATTGACAAAACTTCATTTCTTATAATAATAATAATTAAAAAGAAAAAGATAAAATAAAAATGAAAGTCAAGAAATAAAAAACGTTTGATTCAGGGTAACATTCGTAGTTCGTTGGTTAATCTTTTATCGGTTCGAAACATTTTTCTTTTTTTTCAGCGATTGCCGAACTATTTTTTTTTTTTCATTTCATTTGTTAAATTTAATTGATCTGTCATCGAAACAGTTCGTTATTATTTAGTACATTTTAAACGAGAGTTATTTGTTTTTGATATGAAACGAATCCTTTGATTCTTTCCACCCCTACACGTATGATTATTTATTTTTGTGTAGCTTTCGAGAAAAATAATAAATATAAAATAATAAATATTTTTTTATTTAGTAAATGCATAAATTAATTAATGAAACAATCAAATCACAAACTTAATAATGATTATAAATAATATATAAATGATCTTTTCACACACACACACACATACACACACACACACACACACAGAGAGAGAGAGAGAGAGACACGCGCGCGCGCGCGCGCGTTTTTTTTTTAATAATATATTTTAATAATTATATATTATAATTATATATATATGTATAATTGATAATAAATTTTTCTAAAAATCATTTCAATCATTTTTTTTCACAAAATAAAGAATTTATTTTTTTTATTTAAATTTCCATTTAATTTATTCTTCCAAACATATATAAAATTTTGTTAAGAATAAAAAAAAGGAAAATATATAAATCCAATAATATAAACAATGTCTGTTATTTTATTTCAGACCGCGGGGGGGGGGGAGTGGTAAAGAAAAGTTAATACAAAAGTTCAGTAAAAAATTTTCGGAACATTTTTGAAACAATTTGGGTAAGTCAAGCTTTTGAGAAAAAAAAATTAAACAAAAGAAAAGAAAAAAAATCATCTTCTATAATAATCTCGTCGTCATAGTTGGTAGTAGTCGTATAGTATGACATTGAGTGAGTTGCATTATTCCAAAAATTGTTCCTATAAAGAAGTGTGAGATAATATCGATGATATGACGAGCGTAATACTTATTCTACTCTATTTCTTCAAGTAGGGTAAAGTTCACGATGAGATATCGTGCAATATTCTCGTAATACATAACTACACATACACACAATACATAGAGAGACGTAGGATAATAAAATTTACTGGAATAAAAGAAGAAGGAATGCGATACGATTGAGAGAACTCAAAGTGAGAAGAACAAAAAAAAAAGAAAAAGAAAAATAAGGGAAAAAAAGTATTGACACGACGAGCTTTTATCTCGACTAACCCCTTAGACACACCCTACGTTCTCATACAAGACAGTTAAAAAAAATATAATATGGTGTAATATTTTCACAGATCATATCTGGAGTCAAAAATATAAATAAATTAATAAATTGATTGAAAAAAATAATCTAATTAATATTATATTGTAAATTTCAATTGACACACGAATTATTATTATTATTATTATTATTATTATTATTATTATTATATATAATACATTATATAAATTAAATTGTTAATATATAATAAATATACTATATTATTTTATAATATAAATATATAATTTGTATTGTATATTATTATATATTATTATTATATTATATTAATAATATATAATTTTAATATATATATATNTTAATAATATATAATTTTAATATATATATATAATATAATATTAATATTTTATATATTTATTTATTTATTATATTACATTTAACTTATTATATTTTATATATATTTATATTTATTAAAATATATAATATATAATAAATAATATAATATATAATAAAAAATAAAATTATTATAAATATATGTGTGTGTGTTGCAATAACTTTGTGTAAGTTGAGGTTACGAAAACAGGACAAATGAAGGGAAGCAAATCGATACCGTTATGTTGACATTTATCGATTATATCGAAAGTATATAATATATGTATATATGTATATATAATAATATTATTTGTTAAAGAAATCATGGACAATCCTATATTTGCATATTTCAATGTAACCTTTTCGATAATATTTATCAATATGAACAAACACATTTTTATATCATCGAGATCAGATACTGTAAAAATATTGTTACATTCAATTGTAATTAAAGTAGGACACATCGTTTATATAATTGTTTAATAAAATTTGATAAAATCTGACATCTGATAAAATACGTAGATACATATATATTGAATAAAAAAAAATAAAAAAAAAATAAAAAATGGAAAAATATATGAATTTCGGAGTAACATATTAAATGTGAAACATACAATCGTTATGATTGATGAGCAAAAAAAA